GCTGTCCCTCAGCTCTTCAGCTCAAGGCTAGCGCTCTACCACTTGAGCCACAGCACCACTTCCGGCTTTTTTCTTTTCTTTTTTTCTTTTTTTGCTTATGTGGTGCTGAGGAATCGAACCCAGGGCTTCAGGCATGCAAAGCAAGCGCTCTACCACGGAGCCAACTTCCCAGCCCCCATATTTCTACTTTCTACATTTGTTTTCTGGTTAATTGGGGATAAAAGTCTTAGGAACAACCCTGCCTGGGCTGGCTTCGAACTAGGAAACTCAAATCTCTGCTCTCTAATTAGCTAGGATGACTGAGCTATCGGTGCCCGGCTACCACTTGGATTGCATTGCAGAGTCAAATGCGTGCCTGGGAGTCATGTTCAGGTCCAGGTTGGGCCCATCTAAGGTTGGAGGGGGGCCGAGATGGGGTGGGGTGAGGGGGAGTCCCGCACTCACCTGGTGGACAGAGGAAGCGCACAGTGTAATTGGAGCAGTTCTGGCCAGGCCTCTGTTCCCGGTTGAGGCACCAGAAGCCCTCTCGGGGATTGCCATGGACCACTTGGCCATTGCTGCCTGCAGGTATCCAGTCAGTGGTCCGGGCCTCCAGCCGGAGGGGCCGGGCACACACTCGGTCCCCATAGTAGAAGCGAATGGCGTCCAGGCGCTCATAGTCACCCTTCCCGCCTGGGTGGTCGATGTTAAACCACGCTGTCCACTCACCGGGACCTGATGGCACAGATTGGGGGAGAAGCCATCGCTGCAGTGACAAGTGACACCTCCTTTCCTGTTTGATCCTTTGAGAATCTTCCCTGGACCTGCTCATCACCCCTCCCCATCTCTTTTGGGTTTTTTTAATTTTTTATTTTTATTGATTGACTGATTAATTGATTTTTTTGTCACTCATGGAGTCTGAATTCTGGGCCTAGATGCTGTCCCTCAGCTCTTCAGCTCAAGGCTAGCGCTCTACCACTTGAGCCACAGCGCCACTTCCAGCTTTTCCTGCTTATGCGGTGCTGAGGAATCGAACCCAGGGCCTCATGCATGCAAGGCAAGAGCTCTACCACTGAGCCACCTTCCCAGCCCCTCTTTTGTTTTTCAGTTGGTCATGGAGCTTTAACTCAGGGCCAGGGCACTGTCCCTGAGCTTTTTTCTTTTTTTGCTCAAGACTAATGCTCTACCACTTTGAACCACAATTCCACTTCCAGTTTTCTAGTGGTTAATTAGAGATAAGAGTCTCAAGGAGCTGGGTGCCAGTGGCTCACACCTGTAATCCTAGCTACTCAGGAGTCTGAGATCTGAGGATCATGGTTCAAAGTCATCCCAGGCAGGAAAAGTCAATGAGACACTTATCTCCAATAAACCACTCAGAAAACCAGAAGTGACACTGTGGCTCAAGTGGTAGAGTGCTAGCCTTGAGCTGAAGAGCTGAGGGACAGCGCCCAGGC